AAGAGAGCAGGTGCTAATTCCCTAAAATGCTTTATTAATGGATTCATATCATACAAAACTAATGCAAAAACAATTCTGCAACAACACAACATTGGCCTACACGAGTTTAGTTTATGACAGAGTTTACTGAGTTTACTTTTGAAGAATAACAGCATTACAAATTTACATTACAAAGTGATCAAAACGCATAATGATATGTGTTTTGGGGCTATTGTTTCCTTCAAAGGCCACAGGAAGGAAACAATAGCCTGTAACTTACTTAGCAACAGAAATGATCCCATTACAGTTGTGTTCAGAAGTTTACATACACTCATCATGGGCATAAATGTCTTGGTAATTTTGTTCTTTCTCCAGGGTGAAATGATTGTACGGAATATATCTTTATTGACTTTAAGACAACTAGAACTGGGTGCATATGTTTGATTTGTTTTTTTTCTCTAATCTACACAGGGTTAAAAGTATGCATGCAGGCTGGAAAATGACCCAAACTGTCACGGTCTGGGTGAGTGACAGTATTTTCTCCAGCAGCAGCTCTCCTCCTCTGGGTAGAGACTTGTTGCTCCTCCCTGGCTGCCCATCTTTGGGCAATTATTCCAGCAGTATATAGGATTGACACACTCAATTAGTCCTCGCCAGATTATCTGCTAACCAATGTTAGTCTGTGGCCTCACATTCTTTAGATTAAACTGTAGTGTCTGTACTTACCTTCTTCACCTGTTTCATAGCCTGTTCCCAGAGCTCACTTTTCACCCGTTGCCATATTTGCTTACCTGGATCCAGATCTCCAGCTGCTGGTAAAACCTCTCAGTCTTATTGCCATTCTCACGTGCCTGCCTCCCTGCGTCCCAGCGTCATGCTCCGTGCTCACCCCTGCCCCCTCCTGCCTTTCTCCACCTGCAAGCAAGTAAGGCGTCTTACTTACTCTTGGAATTCATTCAAATTTCCTCTGAACCACTCTGACTGTATTCTCCTTTTATTCCAGTGCCCATAGTCAGCCATAGTCTCCCCTGGCTCAGTTCACGCACCCCGCAGTCATAGTGCTCATGATTGTCTTGCCCTGCAGTTCTGCACCTGTGTCCATCTCTCTTCCTGGGCCGGTGAGCCATGACACATGCTCAGTTGAAAGGAAATTGGTTAGGATGTTTTGAAGAACCCAGGAATCATGAAGGCTCAACCCTGCAATGAACTGGAAACTGCTTGAACACGAGCGTTACTGTCCACAGTGAAGTGAGTTTTACATCTCCGTGAACTGAGAGGATGCTAACCAAAACTGACACCTTTAACCTTGTCTGAAACTTGTAGTTGCTCACATGGACAACTCAAATACCATATGGAAAAATGTTTTATGGTGACATGAGAGAAAGATTAAGCTATCTGACAAAAAGAGGTATGTTTGTTT